ATGCAAAGGCCAAGCACTCTCAAAACCCTGTTTGTAAGCATAACATAATATATGCACCAGGAAATTCACAAATCTGGGCTACAGTCACAGAGACTCTGTCAGCCTCCATTGAGATTGTGAGAACTGCTGCTGGTGCCTTATGTTAATTCATCCATAAGTGAAGTCAAGGATGACCTGGATGGCAAGTCTGTAAAAGAAAGTATATTATGTGAACTGACTCTTATCTTCGTCCATATCCCAACTAGCCCACACGAATCATATGTGCAAAACAAAACTAAAATAAAACAAATACTATACCAACAGCAAGGATGCAGACAGAATTTTAAATCAGATATGTTAACTGAAAAAGCAGAGCAGTAACAATTTCCTTACAGTTTTATCATACCCAAAATAAGACGGATAAACACTAGATAGACATGTTTTTGCTTAAGATGCAGCTTAACAGATAATTTCTATGCAGAAAGAAAAAGTTACACTTTGCTAAACCTTCTTTTATTATACTCTATTCAGTGATTAACCGTCTAATCCACAACCCAGTAATGGATAATTGATTTAGATAGAATTATATTCCAATCCTTCATGCGTCACTTGGAATTAAGTCCTAAGTCCTATGAACCAAGTAAACCTATTTTAAAACATTATATTAAATATTTCTAACATAACATTCTTTTTTGTATCTCATGATGGTCTGGATACATGCATTTATTCTGAAATGAATTATGCTTATTTTCGTAATTAGAATATTCCATACAAAACTGGTAGGAAATTACATATAAATGCAAACAGCTATGTTCAGGGGATTTACACCAGGGTGGATAAAAATCAATATTTAAAAATGTTTTTAAAAAGTAAATAGATTTTTAACCTTCAAATTATTTTCTTATTTTTCAAAATATCATAAAATATTAAATTTCTCTCAAATGTAAAAGCATACTTGCAATGGAAACATGCAAAATCTGCACTTAATAACTCATATGCTGTAGTGCATACCAGCCTGTGCAGGACAAGATCTGAATATTCAATGCCTAGGCACTGCTTATCATGTTGAGGGTTAAACTATCCTTGCATAATCCACAGTCCCTGAGTTTGCATGATTAAAGAAGATACGATTTCTTGTTTGATGGTAAGGACCCAGCCCAGTGTCTCATAAAAAGGAAGTCACCTACCAATCAAATATGAACATTAATTTCAGTTTTTCATCTGATGAAATTGGCTCTGTCTAACCTAACAGCTCTTGCATCTGCACTTTCAGTTTCAGCCTTGATGGGATCAATGTTGCATGCTTATGTGATGCTGGAAATAGGCCAAGAAGGGCAAAGAGGTAGTTAAGGGTGGATAAAAATCAATGCTTAAGCAAAATCCTCCCCCTGGAAAAAAAGTTTTTAAAACCTTACACTGGATATTTTTCAACTCAAAAACTATCAAATCTTGCTTCGATCTGCATGCACAGGCATTTCATTTGTTTGCATCATTGATTTTTGTGAAGGTAAAATTGGACCAAGACACAGTAAAGAATTCTCTCTCCTAGAATTCTCATCCCAAGGCTGCAATCTTATATCCATGTGTGGACAACAGGCTCCACTGAACTCAATGAGAAGATATGCATAGTGTGTTAACCTCAAACTGTCATGGTTGTTGGTCATAAGAAAGGCTGTACACATTATTTCTTTCTTAAAATCTATGTCTTTATTGAATGGAGCTGGTCTTAGACCATAATAAAGTTTTTATCTATCTACACAGGAATACAGACATTCATTTATTGCCAAAAAGGAAAGCATGCACTGCACTCCAAGTGCATGTGGGTGCGTGTGTGTGTATGAGAGGGAGAGGGAGAGGGAAAGAGATGCAAAACCTTTGAAAGAATGAGACAGAGTAAATAAAACTCTTTTTTACTTGTACATGAACATGGCTTTGAGATCAGATAAGCACCACTGTTCAATTTAATTTTAATCAATTCACCCTTCTTTGCACATCTGTTCCTTTAGCAAGCATCTCCTTCCTTCCAGCCTTGAACAGTAAATTTCCATATGGAAAGGGTCACCAGTTTATCACAAGTTACCATTCACAGGAAACCTCAAGACTGGGTAATGGGCCTGGGTAATGGGAAACTGCCCTTGCAGCTGTTTTAGACATACATAAAGGGCTAGGCAACTTTATGCCCATTTACCAGAAAGAGCATATATAGAAAGACCACTGCAATCTTCCGGGTGGTCTTTTTGTCTATACCACATCTTGCAGAGTTGTCTGGCAGCAAGATGTCAATAGTCCTTTTCTGTGGTAACATCTACTTTCTAGAATCACTTCTCTATGATACATTAGGCACCAGTGTTTATGTGCTTTCAATGCTTATTAACAACCTGCCTGATTACCCTGGTTTTCCCAATCATTAACTGAATAAGGGCACGATCCTACGGGACATTCCTGTTTGCCTTACTCCAGAGCTTCAGGGTTCTCCATCTCCCTTTCCATCAGCATGCCTTCTCCTCTCCCTCTCCAACTTCTCTTAATAGGTCACAGCTGTGACCTCCTAAGAATAGCTTCCCATGGTAGCTGGGAGGGGGTGAGAGAACAGATGCACAATCAGATCTTTTCCTCTGCAGTCACTGCTTTGTTTCTAGCTGGGGAGAAGATCTGCGCTATCCTATGGCTCCCTGGGTGCTATCTAAGACCCACAGGATAGCTCTGTGAATCATTTTCAACCTTTCCTTACACAGACTTGCAATTTGTATGCTTTGTCATGCTTACTGTTTTATCATTTACTGTAATCCACTTGAATAATTTTAAAATGAAAAGCACTATATAAATATTTCAAATACAGTAATGAGTAAGTTATGAACTAAAATGTAAGACAAATGTACACACTGTATAAACTTGAAAGTACTGTGCTTCCATACTGAGGCCCATCTGAGTATAGGGTACAAAAAGACAATGAATCTCTTACCATTGAGTCTTTGGCTGGTGGCTATCTACCAAGGACTGAAAGGGGATGGGGTTGTAGACCCCAAAGCCACTGTATAGACCCCCCGCTGGTCCACTTTCAGCTTCTGGACCATAGACAGTTTCAAGAGCACTGTGTGATCTGGCTATAACTCAACCATAAGGGCTGCCTTGGTCTAACTATCCATGCTACTAGGTACTTGGTCATTTCTGTAAAGTACTGCTATATAGTAGAATAGAGGTGAGGCAGGCACGTAGCATTAGGATGTTAATGTCACATCTTTCTGTTAGAATTACATTCATCTTTCTAATATTTTCTATTTAACTGTTAAGGTTGAGAAACCCTTCAAACATTCTACAGTCTAATAGCTGAACAAGATGGGATTTATTTGAAACATGGGCTTCAGGGGTGGCAGTATTGCAACTACAGCATTAGTAAGGCAGATTCTCCATTTTCCTGATGGAGAATGACCCAATTCTTCCCACCAGATATGCATCCCATTAGAGAAAATATGTGTATACCTCTAATTGTTCACATTTACATACCCATAACATTCCCCTTACAGGGCAAAAAGCAGAGTGAGGAGAGAATTTACTTCAGGAAAATGGTAGAGAAGAATCAATCCTCTTTTCCCACATGCCATGGTCTCAAATTAATTCTTTTCAACTCAAACAGCTACTTTTTACAAGAAACAGAAAATAGAAACAGGATATCCAGACAGGGATGTCCAACACCTGGTCTAATTTGGTTCTAACTGAAACTTTTAATATCAGATCCATTTTTACCTCCTTTCTCCCATCAGAATCCAAAGAACCGTTAAACTAGTTCTGATGGTCAACAGGGGTGCTTCCCCCCCTCCCCAAAAATACTGCAGGGCAAGTTGCTTTACAGCTGTAGTGAGTTTCAAGAGCACTGTGTAATCTGGCTTGAGGTGCTACTCTTTAAAGCAAAAAAAGGCAACACTTCCACCAGGCTAGCACAGCCCCCGCATATGAGCCTAAGCAATTATCTGGGCTGAGCCCATCTTCTGGGGTAAAATCACAACCATTAAGAATGTCAACATCACTAGGTGCCACATTCTTCATCCAATGATAGCACAAGTATGCCCGGTGGGGCCATGTTCAGCAGCAAGAACAGATGTGAAGGCCCGCGTTACTTAGGAATACTGTTGCTTCAGCCAGCAGTCTAATGCAGGCATGCTTTTACATTTGAATTTAAAGCCGAACTCAACACAAAGGCACGGACTGAACAGATTCTTCAGTCGTCGTTAACTGTAATATAAGGCTGGGAATCCTTACTAAAGCATTTTGGTTTCTTTCAAGACTGCAGAGATGGTATGTATGTATGTATGTATGTATGTATGTATGTATTTATTTATTTAGGAGACTTCTATGCCGCCCCATTCGCCGAAGCCTCGGGGCAGCATAGAACAATTACAACTGTTATGAAACACACCAAGGAGCTGTATATGGTTAACAAAAGAACTGTTCTGTAAATGGGCTCAGAAAAAACAGCAGTACTCATACCCTAAAACGCGGATAGCTTTTCCAAACTACACAGAACCAAAAAAGAGGGGGGGAAATCTGTTAATCTAGCACATTACCTACGGGTCAAACTCAATGACTGGATTTGGACAACATCTTGCTGAGTGTCACAGGGTATTTAACCCATGTGTACCACAAATTCAAGGTTGATTATGCAACTTCCACTCAGGGGTTCTCATGTCATGAAAACCAAGTGAATATGGTTTATGTGAGGGTTAAACAACCCTTGCATAACCCATGCTGACCAAGTTCCTTGAATGGGACTGTCATTGCACTTGCACCACACAAATCATGCAAACAGTCCAATCGCTTTTAATTGCCGTGGAAACACTGTTCCATACCATGATAGATATAAACCAAATAGATGGGTAGGAAGAAAGATCTTCAAAAACATATTCCCCCAGGTTCATTCTTCAGTATCTATTTTGCTTCAAAGGTTTTGCACTGGTGCAGTCCAAGTTTCAGACTGTTCTATTTATTCTTTCTTTGAAAAAACAAACATTCAACATATAACTTACTCATTAAAGACTAAATCAGGTGCAAAGTAGAGGAACTGGCTGTTTGTATGTCTGTATGATCTCCAGCTCAAGGCGAATGATGATAGACACATCCAAGAATACTGGATTAAAGTAATTTGGTCCTCGAGAGGTAAGTTTCTAAAACCTGAAAAACACAATACATCATAAACAACATTTCCTGTCACCTACTTCAGCATGCTTTAAGTCTGGAAAAATTGCACTATTTCCCCCCACTGACTAAAGAGTAAAAACACAAGGGTGCACTTTTTAAAAACACACTTTAAAAACATACACCTTTATTTTGTTTTTAAATGTGCATTTTCAAAAGTAAACATTTTGTGTTTACAAGCATGTTTAGAGAACAGACACTCTCATTTACATTGCATTCAGGGCTTTGAATGGGTCATGTCTAGGTGACTTATGAACTGAAACAAAATTCTTTTGTATCGCTAAATGCAACCTTACCTGGAAGTATCTTTGCCCATTTTACCACCTGAATCATCTGCTTCCCAGCGAGACGGTTTAAAGTGGAGAGCAGGTGTTCAGCTGTATCTGGCTTGGAACTATCATATCCTGCATATACAATTTCAGGTTCAATGTTCTCCAGGACCATAACAGGGGAGGGAGTAAGTGCTGGTGAAACTGGAGCCAAGTGAGGAACAAGTGCTGTGTTTACAGAAGGTTCTTTTGCTGGAGCAATATACGTAGTCCCTTCCTCTGGACTTTGTGGGGGTGGCTGCTGCTGCTGCTGCGGTTCTTCGTGGATTCCTTTTAACTTGCCCAGCTTCTTTGATTTCCGAGCTATGAAAAAAAACAGAAAGAGTATAAAAAGCATATGTACGGTGTTGGAGACAAAAAGTTATTAGCCTTCACTGTATTTTTTAGTCATAGCTAAAATAGAGTATATGGATGCTCTCTTAGGGAAACATAACCTGGTCAGTCTTGGACCACAATAAAGTTTAGTTTATTATTTGGTTAGGATTCAAGAAAGGAAAAAATGCAAGTTTTAAACCAATAACTTGTACCTAGAAGAAAGCAAGTTGTACTGTACCTCCTAATATTACATTTTAAATTAGTTTCTCCAGTTCACACAGATTTATAGAATTTTTTATTTCCTAAAACACACTCCATCATAAGCCACTGAATTATCTCTTGGATCACATTTTGAACTGTTTGGCTATATTACCAATATTCTCTTCCAACTTAGTCTCTGAGTAGCTTTTTAATTCAACTGTATGCTTTTCTCTAAGACAATTAACAGAAATATAGTGGGTGTGGCAACAATGGTAACCTGGACTCTCCAGCCAATGTGTTGTTTGCACAAACTAAATCATATGGACAACTCTATTTTTACAGTGTGTCTGCATTTTACACTGAAACCACCTGTGGGAAGTCTGAATATAAAAACAAAACAGAAATTCTGCTGACAAGATCTGTTGACAAGATTTTAAATGTGAGGCTCCTGCAAAGGACGGCATATAAATGTTTTAATTAAATTAAAATTTATTTATTTTAATGGGTTATGTTCTATTTTTGGAGTGTCTCTGTGTGTGTGTGTGTGTGTGTGTGTGTGTGTGAGAGAGAGAGAGAG